CTCGCCAGGGTTTTGTATAGTTTTAAAATCAACTTTGATTGCCACCCCTCAAGACAATAGGCTGGGCTGCTAGAAGGCCTCTTGAGGACTCGCCGATCACATGGACACCACATATTTCCATAATCCACTCCAGTGTTTGCTGTGGACTCATCTTGTTGTATTTCAAATAATAATAATAATAATAATAATAATAATAATAATAATAATGAAATCTGCATACATTATTTGCTGATACATCACACATCCCTAGACACTTGGGAAGTGTCCAATGTGTGATCCAATACAACAGCCAGCAAAGTGTCTGCTGTGGACTCATCTTGTTGTATTTCAAATAATAATAATAATAATAATAATAATAATAATAATAATGGGATCCGCACACATTATTCGCCGATACATCACAACAGTCCTAGACACTTGGGAAGTGTCTGACGTGTGATCCAATACAACAGCCAGCAGAATGTCTGCTGTGGACTCATCTTGTGATGTTTCAAATAATAATAATTAAACTTTATTTATACTCTGCCACCATCTCCCAAAGGGGACTTGGGGCGGCTTACATGAGGCCAAGCCCAATAATTACATCAAAACAAATATGCAACATAAAATAATACATCAATAAATTTAAAAAAGATAAAAAATAAAATAAAAAGCGATACAAAATAAGCACACAATTTATATAAATAAAAACATAATGTTCGTTTGTGGGATTAACCTAATTCAAAAACCACTGGATGAATTTACACCAAATTTGGACACATGTATCAGGCCAACAAGCGACCATCGCTCATAAAAACGCTGAGAACAGTGCAGAAGAGACTTAAAAAGACAAAAAATATAAATGCATTACTATGCATGCGTAAAACCACATATATACACAAACACACACACATATATACATATACACAAATATATACATACACATATACGCACACAAAACACATACACACAGACTGGGCCACAGCAATGTGTGGCAGGGGACAGCTAGTACAAAATAAAATCACAATAGTCAATCACGATGGGCAGGGCCGGTTGCACAGATTAAAATGTTTAAAAACTCTAGGTGAGATAAGTAGTGTAATATATCTAGAAGGGGGTTCAGGTGGGACGAAACAAACGGGTTTAATTTCACTAGAGGTTGAGATAAAGTGCATCTGAGGGCGTTTTATGCCAGGTTTAGTCAAGGTAGGTCTGTGGTTTCCTCTTCTCCACACTCACATGTCGTGGACTCCACTTTGTGGCCCCATTTCTTAAGGTTGGTTCTGCATCTCATGGTGCCAGCCCTCCCAAGTTGCCCAGTCAAGAAGTTTCTCATTCGTTACCAGCCAAAGGTTGAGGTTCCAGGTTTTAACCTGCCACTTTTGGACTCTTGCTTGCTGAGGTGTTCCTGCGAGTATCTCTGTAGATCTTAGAAAACTATTTATTGATTTAAGGTGTTGGCATGCTGGCTAATAACTTACCTATCAGAATGTATCTCCCCTTATGAACCACCTAGGACGTTAAGATCTTCTGGGTAGGCCCTGCTCTCGGTCCTGCCTTCCTCGCAAATGTGTTTGGTTAGGACGGGAGACAGGGCCTTCTCAGTGGTGGCCCCTCAACTGTGGGATATAAGATCAGCTCCTTCCCTACTTACTTTTCGAAGGAAGGTGAAAACCTGGCTTTTTGAGCAGGCCTTCCCAAATACGGCATAGTTTTACGAAATCATGGAACTACTTGGCGACACAATTGAATAATATATTGACATGGAGACGCTCACGATAATGTTCTTAAGGCTTTGTATGGTTTTTAATTCTTATATTGTATGCTAATGTTTATAACAGTATTTTATGATTGTTTTACTTGTTATAATTGTTGAGGCATCAAATTGTTGACAATTGTGAACCGCTCCGAGTTGCCTCTCGGCTGAGGGGTGGTATATAAATGTGGTAAATAAATAAATAAATAAATAAATAATATCCAAAAAGAAGATGGGCCAGAGATGTCACTGCCTTGGCTGCTACTTCTAGGCAGATGTCAGGTAGTAGTGCCCTAAACTACATTTTCCAGAGTTAGTTTGTTAGGCGATCCCTCGTTGTCTGAGTAGGATAGCCTTCCAAAATCAGTGTACTGGCGGTGGGTCCATAGGTGACTGTGGAGCCCTATTCTTGATCTGCATCTTGTCCCGCAGTGAGGGCATCCGTTTCCAGGTGGAAAGTGGTCACAATCGGGGTTGGCTTGATGTGTCTCCCTCTTGGCATGTTTCTCCCTTTCGCCCTCCATTCGTGCCTCTTCAAATTCTGCAGCACTGCTGGTCACAGCTGACCTCCAGCTGGAGCACTCAAGGGCCAGGGCATCCCAGTTCTCAGTGTCTATGCCAGAGTTTTTAAGGTTGGCTTTGAGTCCATCTTTCAATCTCTTTTCCTGCCCAACAACATTCCATTTTCTGTTCTTGAGTTTGAAGTAGAGCAACTGCTTTGGGAGACGGTGGTCGGGCATACGAACAACGTGGCCAGTCCAGTGGAGTTTATGGCGGATGACCATCGCTTCAATGCTGGTGGTCCTTGCTTCTTCCAGCATGCTGACATTTGTCCACTCGTCTTCCCAAGAGATTTGCAGGATTTTTTTTGGAGGCAACGCTGATGGAATCGTTCCAGGGGTTGCATGTGACGTCTGTAGACAGTCCACATCTCGCAGGCATAAAGCAGGGTTAGGAGGACAATCGCTTTAAAACAAGCACCTTGGTATCCCTACAGATGTCCTGGTTCTCAAACACTCTCTGCTTCATTTGGAAAAATGCTGCACTTGCAGAGCTCATTTGGGAAAAATGTTGCACTCGCAGAGCTCAGTCAGTGTTATATTTCAGTGTCGATGCTAACTTTTGTGGAGAGGTGGCAGCCAAGAGAGAGGAAATGATCAACATTTTCAGAATGATTTTGATTTTCCAGAATGTAGTGTTCAGCATCAGAAAGCCCCAATGAGAGCTGCAGCAGCCGGCTGTTTAGATTATGACTAATAATATTACAATATAACGGTATAGTGAAATATAGAAATATATAATACTGATATTGTACTATGCTAATATTGTAATATATTGTATGGCGGAGGTCTCCTGTGCTATGCTAATAATATAATATAATATAAATACATATAATATTTATAATATTATACTGTAATGCAATATAATACTACTAGTAATAATATATTATAATTACATATTTATATTACATGTAATATTACTAATAATATTACAATATAATGGTACAGTGCAATATAGTAATATTTAATACTGATATTGTACTATGCTAATATTTTAATATATTGTATGGCGGAGGTCTCCTGTGCTATGCTAATAATATAATATAATATAATAGTATAATATTTATAATATTATAATGTAATACAATATACTACTGCTATTAATATTATAATTATATATTTATATTACATGGAATATTACTAATAATATTACAATATAATAGTATAGTGCAATATAATAATATTCAATACTGATATTGTACTATGCTAATAATTTAATATATTGTATGGTCTCCTGTGCTATGCTAATAATATAATATAATATAATATAATATAATATAATATAAATACGTATAATATTTATAATATTATACTGTAATACAATATAATACTACTAGTAATAATATATTATAATTACATATTTATATTACATGTAATATTACTAATAATATTACAATATAGTGGTACAACGCAATATAGTAATATTTAATACTGATATTGTACTATGCTAATATTTTAATATATTGTATGGCGGAGATCTCCTGTGCTATGCTTATAATATAATATAATATATATGTATAATATTTATAATATTATAATGTAATACAATATAATACTACTACTAATAATATATTATAATTATATATTTAAATTACATGTAATATTATTAATAATATTACAATATAATAGTACAGTGCAATATAGTAATATTTAATACTGATATTGCACTATCCTAATATTTTAATATATATACATATAATATTTATAGAATACTACTACTACTAATAATATATTATAATTATATATTTACAAATAATATTACTAATAATATTACAATATAATAATATAGTGCAATATAGAAATATATAATACTGATATTGCACTAATATTTTTATATACATATAATATTTATATTATAATGTAATACAATATAATACTACTAATAATACGATATTATAATTATATATTTATATTACATGTAATATTACTAATAATATTACAATATAATGGTACAGTGAAATATAGAAATATATAATACTGATATTGTACTATGCTAATAATTTAATATATTGTATGGTGGAGGTCTCCTGTGCTATGCTAATAAATATAATATAATACAATATATTACTACTAATAATAATATGATAATTATATATTTATATTAAAGGTAATATTACTAATAATATTACAATATAATAGTATAGTGAAATATAGAAATATATCATACTGATATTGTACTATGCTAATAATTTAATATATTGTATGAGGGCATATAAATACATAAATATATTATTATATATCATTTTATGTTGCAATCCCCCTTCCAATGTGCTCAAAACACAAAAGACCAAAAAGGTGGGTGGAGACTTTTTCCTATTCTGCAACCCTATTGGTCGGATTCCGCTGACAGACATTTGTAAAGCCCGCCCGCTTTAAGATCTCGCGATGTTTGGAGACCTGCTCGCCGCGAGACTACTTCTTTTCTCCCTTTCCTCTAAGACGCATGCGCTTTGAGTGCATTCTCCGGCCTGCCCCCCCGCCCTTCCGCATAGAGATCCCACGACTTCTGCGCAGGCGCACTCCAGCCTCAAAAAGAGAGCAACCCCTCTGCATGCCACACCCCTTGACAACAACACCCTCCTTGGCCCCTCCCCCCTCCGGTGCCAATCACCCTTCAGCCCCGCCCCTTTCCCACTTTTTTTGTTTCTCGCGTTCCGCCCGCTTCGAATCTTGACCCCTTCCCATTTGGGAGGCGGGCGCTCCCTCGCCGCTCCGGCCCCTCCCTCCCAGAAGTGGGCGGGGAAACCTGTGTGAGGGGGGCAGCCGCCATCTTGGATAAAGTCTGTGTGTGTCTCTGTGAGGGGGAGAAAAACCTGGAAGTGGCGGCCGGAAAGGGGGAAACTCCGCGCGAGAAGAGTTAGAGGAAGGAGGAAGAGGAGGCTGGCCGGTTTCCCAAAGGGAGGAGCGAGAAGGGGAGAGGCCGGTCGCCGTCGCGAAGCGGAGCCAAGCTGCCCAGTCACCGCCATTCCTTCGGACCCGGGTGAGAAATCGAGGCCGAGGCCTGAGGCCTAGCTGCTGCTGCCCTTGTGGCGTTGCTTGGCAACAGGGCGGGGGTCCCTTTGGCCCCGCCCATCCCGCCACAGGCCTCTTGCTGTTTGGCCTTCCAGGCCTAGGCCTCGCCGAAGCCTCCCACCCCCGCCTGGCTCTGCTGGGCTAGGCCATTAAGGACAGGGGCAGAAAATGACACACGGGAAAGGGATCCTTTCGTGTTCCTTGACTGGAAGCCCCCTTCCACACAGCTGTGTAGCATCCACATTGAACTGGGTTATATGGCAGTGTGGACTCAAGTAACCAAGGGCCCTTCCACACAGCCATATAACCAGGTATATCAAGGCAGAAAATCCCACAATATCTGCTTTGAACTGGGTTATCTGATGGCCCATCCACACAGCCCTATAACCCAGTATATCAAGGCATAAATACGGTCCTTCCACACAGCCCTATATCCCAGAATATCAAGGCAGAAAATCACACAATATCAGCTTTGAACTGGGTTAACTGAGGGCCCTTCCAACACAGCCATATAACCCAGTATATCAAGGTAGAAAATCCCACAATATCTGCTTTGATCTTGGTTATGTGAGGGCACTTCCACACAGCCCTATATCCCAGAATATCACGGCAGAAAATCCCACAATATCTGCTTTAAACTGGGTTATTTGAGGGTCCTTCCACACAGCCCTATATTCCAGAATGTCAAGGCAGAAAATATCACAATATTTGATTTGAACTGGGTTATCTGATAGCCCTTCCGCACAACCATATAACCCAGAATATCAAGGCAGAAATACTACAATGTCTGCTTTGAACTGGGTTATCTAAGGGCCCCTCCACACAGCCCTATATCCCAGAATATCAAGGCAGAATATCCCACAATATCTGCTTTGAACTGGGTTATCTAAGAGCCCATCCACACAGCCTGATATCGCAGAATATCAAGGCAGAATATCCCACAATATCTCTTTGAACTGGGTTATCTGAGGGCCCTTCCACACAGCTCTATATCCCAGAATATTAAGGCAGAAATCTGGTCCTTCCACACAGCCCTATATCCCAGAAAATCAAGGCAGAAAATCCCACAATATCTGCTTTGAACTGGGTTATGTGAGGATCCTTCCACACAGTCCTATATCGCAGAATATCAAGGCAGGATATCCCACAATATCTGCTTTGAACTGAGTTATCTGAGGGCCCTTCTACACAGCCCTATATCCCAGAATATCAAGGCAGAAATCCCACAATATCCGCTTTGAATTGGGTTATGTGAGGGCCCTTCAACGCAGCCCTATATCGCAGAATATCAAGGCAGAATATCCCACAATATCTGCTTTGAACTAGGTTATCTGAGGGCCTTTCCACACAGCCCTATATCTCAGAATATCAAGGCAGGATATCCACCAATATCTGCTTTGAACTGGGTTATCAGATGGCCCATCCACACAACCATATAACCCAGAATATCAAGGCAGAAAATCGCACAATATCTGCTTTGAATTGGGTTATCTGAGGGCCCTTCCACACAGCCTATATCCCAGAATATCAAGGCAGAATATCCCACAATATCTGCTTTGAACTGGGTTATTTGAGGGCCCATCCACACAGCCTATATCCCAGAACATCAAGGCAGAAATTCCACGATATCTGCTTTGAATTGTATTATCTGATGGCCCTTCCACACAGCCCTATATCCCGGAATATCAAGGCAGAAAATCCCACAATATCTGCTTTGAATTGTATTATCTGATGGCCCTTTCACACAGCCCTATATCCCAGAATGTCAAGGCAGAATATCCCAGAATATCACGGCAGAAAATCCCACAATATCTGCTTTGAACTGGGTTGTCTGATGGCCCTTCCACACAGCCATATAACCCAGTATATCAAGGTAGAAATACCACAATATCTGCTTTGAACTGAGTTATCTGATGGCCCTTCCACACAGCCTATATCCCAGAATATCAAGGCGGAAAATCCCACAATATCGCTTTGAACTGGGTTATTTGTGGGCCCATCCACACAGCCTATATCCCAGAACATCAAGGCAGAAATTCCACGATATCTGCTTTGAATTGGGTTATCTGATGGCCCTTCCACACAGCCCTATATCCCAGAAAGTCAAGGCAAAATATCCCAGAATATCTGCTTTGAATTGGATTATCTGATGGCCCTTTCACACAGCCCTATATCCCAGAATGTCAAGGCAGAATATCCCAGAATATCACGGCAGAAAATCCCACAATATCTGCTTTGAACTGGGTTATCTGAGGGCTCTTCCACACAGCCTAAATCCCAGAATATCAAGGCAGAAATTCCACAATGTCTGCTATGAACTGGGTTATCTGAGGGTCTTTCCGCATAACCCTATATCCCAGAACATCAAGGCAGAAATCCCACAATATCTGCTTTGAACTGGGTTATCTAAGGGTCCTTCCACATAGCCCTATATCCCAGAATATCAAGGCAGAAAATCGCACAATTTCTGCTTTGAACTGGGTTATCTGAGGGCCCTTCCACACAGCTCTATATCCAAGAATATGAAGGCAGAATATCCCACAATATCTGCTTTGAACTGGGTTATCCGAGGGCCCTTCCACACACCCCTATATCGCAGAATATCAAGGCAGAATATCCCACAATATCTGCTTTGAATTGGGTTATCTGAGGGCCCTTCCACACAGCCCTATTTTGCAGAATATCAAGGCAGAAAATCCCACAATATCTGCTTTGAACTGGGTTATCTAAGGGCCCTTCCACACAGCTGTATAACCTAGTACATCAAGGCAGAAAATCCCGCAATATCTGCTTTGAACTGGGTTATCAGAGGGTCCTTCTGCACAGCCTATATCACAGAATATCAAGGCAAAAATTCTACAATATCTGCTTTGAACTGGGTTATCTGAGGGCCCTTCCACATAGCCTATATCCCAGAATATCAAGGCAGAAAATCCCACAATATCTCCTTTGAACTGGGTTATCTGAGTCCACACTCAGACAGCCCTATATTCTGGGATATAGGGCTGTGTGGAAGGGCCTGAATCCCCTTTCATACATCTGTATAAAATCCGCATTGAACTGGATTATCTGGCAGTGTGGACTCGGATAACCCAGTTCAAAGCAGATATTGTGGATTATTTGCCTGGATATTCTGAGTTATATGGCTATGTGGAAGAGCCCTCAAACCCCTTTCACAGTGCTGTATAAAACCCACATTGAACTAGATTATATGGCACTATGGACACAGATAACCCAGTTCAAAGCAGATATTGTAGGTTATGTGCCTTGATATTCTGGGTTATATGGCTGGGTGGAAGGGCCCAAAGACTGTTGTTGATCCTTTAATGTTCCTTGATTCAAAGACTGGAATAACTTCAGTTCTCAAAGGGATCTTGCAGCACCCTGTGGACTTGAGGAGGGCATCTACATTGTAGATTGTAGAGTTAACGCACTTTGGTGCCACTTTGACTGCCTCACTGACAGTTGTAGTTTTGCAAGGCCATTGTCCTTCTGGGCCAAAGAGTACCTTGCTGAACTACAACCCCCAGAATCCCACAATGCAGCTGCATTCATTCTACTGTGTTGATGTACCTTGAGAGGAAGAAGTTGGTAGCAGAAGCTTCCTTAGAATTAAGTCTACTTCATCAATTATTAGAGTTATTATTAGTTATTACTACAATATTATTATGTTTCCATAGTATTATATATTATAATAGTATTTTATTATATTATGTTACAATAATATAAGGACAAGCGGCTATGGGATCACAAAGGCTAACAACCCGAATGTCACTGGTCAAAATTAAAATTGCTAAAATACCAAAGTCAAAATATTATCCAGATGTAATCTATTTGGCCAGAAATTGAAGAGTAGTGCAGGATCATATAGTTTGACAAATTGTAGATTTGCGTGAAGCCCAAAGCAGTGGATTGATGATAAATAAAGGAATACAGGAATATTATATTGCCATAATATTATATATTTTATTGTATTACATTATTATTACCATGTTGACTCAAGTCTACTGTGCCATCAAATCCAATGTGCACGTCAATTTTCAGAACTCTGCAACCCAAAAAAGTATTTGCCATATTACACGAATCTGATGCGCACTCTAATTTTGGGAAGGTAATTTAGTCAAAATGGGTGAGCATTACAATTGAGTAAATGTAGTATATTATTATTATTTACCATATACATATTATAATATTTTATCATATTACAATGTTATTATTACACAAGGTAACCACATGTGAAAAATGTTCTGTTCTTGGTTTGAAAGTGTTATTTCTTGTTTAATTGTGCAGTACTTGCTTTGAAACTAGGTTTTTGTGGCTGCAAACTCAGTTGAATTGGTTGAGACTTGATGGGAAATTCATTGCTGTTTTTCCTTCTTGCAAAAACAAAGTTTTTGGCAGTTTAATAAACATTTTCTATGTTTTTATGATAGAACCATTTAGGAAATGACATTGATAACCCAGGAACAAAAATAATACTTGCATAGTATAATAATAATAATAATAATAATAATAATAATAATAATAATAATAATTTCACATCTTTCTTGCCTCTTAAACAGACTCAAAGCAGTAAACAGTGGTAAACATGGTATTAAAAATGCACAGAGTAGACTTATGAAAGGTGATGCTTTCAGCTTCTCTCTTGCATAGGATACATCCATACCAGAGTTCTTCATCTAAACTTCTTCAATACGCATCATTTCGCCATACCGTCATTCTGGTTTACTTACAATCTATAAGAAATATGAACATGTACATAAATTGTAGTAATGAAATGTATCTGGGGGACGACACTGCATCTCACGAAAACCTTTCATACATATACACATACATACAAATACATATATGATCTGTGGTTTCATTCACAAAGACTCAGCATTTAGAATTTGCGGAATCTGAAACAAAAGACCCAAAGGGTTGCGATGAATTTTCCGGGCTGTCTGGCCATGTTCCAGAAGCATTCAC